ACTGGTACCTTGAACAGCTGTGTGATGTTGCAGGTTTGACCTACTTTCTCTCCTGTTGGTAAACTTTGTGTAGTATGCAGCGTCAGCTGCATCTCCGCTCACCTGTGGCATAGTATCGCCAAATATCCTCTTCAAGGCAGCCTTCATATTGTCAAACGTGAGGCTTGGACAAGTGGGAAGCGCCAACTGTTTGTCTTTAACAGTCCTGCAGTGTCTAGCAGCTTGAATGCTAACACCGCATCCGGAAGCTCCATTTTTAAGTGGCAAATTTTGTTGTACCTCTGTTCAAACTCGACAGTGTAATCCACCGTCGAAGCACCATTGTCTCTCGTTATCTGGTCAAACTTATGTGTACGTGTACATGTACGTGTATGCCTCGTATTGGCAGCCCTCTTCCTCTTTCAAAAACAAAGAGTCCAGTTTTAACAGAAGTGTAGTCATTCCATCATCTTTGTTCAAATCCCCTGCGGCTATTTCCTGTGCGCTGTCCCTCGCTCTTCCCGTTAGCGACAAGGCAACCGCCAAGGCCTGCTTCTTCTTATCCAAGTCAGTAACCCGTCTCCAGATTTCAAACTCATTTTTCCAGCTTTCGTGAGATTTCTTCTCATCAAACACTGGCGGAACTTTATAATTACCAGCAGCCACTAGCGGAACAAATCAGTACCGGGCCGGGGGCGGGGCACATGACCGGGCCCTTTAAACCCAATAAAGCTCATGATAACATCGCTTTACAACATACACATGCCCGCAACAGCGGGGCTTACAAGCACACATACTACATTTTTGACACAAGCAACTGCTGAGTCCCTAACATCACCGCTATACAGTCGAGAGAGAAAGAAGGGGATATAAGCTGGGCTACTAGAAATAACAACCATCAACAGCTTACAACAGCTCACACATTGTTTGTGGTGTAGTGATTGCTAGAATTGCTACCTGTAAGTCTGGCTCCGAGACTGTGCTGCCAGAATTGAATCACTGCCAACAAAAATGTCAGGTTCATCTCCAGGAGGACGAACAAAATATGTGTCAAGTTTTTGTAATTTGGCTTTTCCTTGCTCTCTTTTTTCCTTTTCTTTGCGCTTTGTCGCTCCACTTTTATGCTTATATGAACTGCCACTCATGTTTAGCTTAGTCCATAAAAATGCTACACCTAGCTTGCACTCTGTTGACAAATGACAGATGATGACGTGGTGGACGGTTGATAACGATTTTACCCAATGTACACTTGGAGACAATATCGGCAATCCACTTGTAAATTTGCACGTAATGAAGTTAAATGTGAGTGAAAATAAAGCCAGTCATGCAGCACGTAATTGTATTCATATTTTACACCTAACTACATCACTAAAGTCAGTCTTGTAAAGTATTTACCAAACATGACTCATCCTGACTGGGCAACGTATATAAGCTCACACATATCGCACACTGAACGGTTTCGTCGAGAGGAATCCCGGTCCCCCCAGCCTGGAACGGAGGCTCCGGGCCCTCCTGGACCCCGGGCCGAGGGCGCGTCGCCCCCCCAGCCCCCCCGGAAGCTCCGCCCCTGCCAGCAGCCATCCTCTGCTACCAATGACAGCTCAATAACAACGATGACAACTGTACGTTTTCAAGACTTTACTCCAACTTCAGCATGACAACAACAATGACAGACCCCACACTTCTTCACTCCGAGCATTCAAGTAATTCGCACATACTCAGTGCGAAATATAGCACATAGCAGGATACTCCAGCATCCCAGAGCAACATTAGCCTTCGGAGAATATACTACATACTTTAAGCAAAAAAAACACCAACAATTTACGATTTCACACCAAGAAATTACGATTGCGGAGCAGCTAGTACAGGCGCATGGCAAAGTAAAAACTTCACATTATCAAAGGCTTGTTGACACCGGGTGGACCAGATAAGCTGAGCTCACTTGCCGAGTAGATCAGTGAGCAGAGCCACAACAGTGGAGAAATTATCACAAAAACCATGGTGATACCCCACTATGCCCAGAAAATGCACCAAGTCCTTCTTTGAGGTAGGAACAGTGTAATTAATAATGGCATCGTACCTCTCCTCAGCCCACAACCTTACCAAAATAGGTGACCGTTGCTCACATTTAGGAAGAATAACTGTAAGATTTGTGGAAAGTAAGCGATCAAACAGAGCTCCCAGCCTCTGAACATGTTGCTGCCAGGTATCACTAAATACCACAACGTCATCAAAATACGCCATGCAACCCTCCAGGCCCAATAAAACAATATTCATTAGCCACTGGAAGGTAGTGGGCGCATTTTCCCAAGAACGAAAGCCATAACAGAATAAGAATGCAAACCATCTGGTGTGATGAAAGCAGAAATATGCTTAAACCTCTCTGTCAAAGGAACCTGCCAGTAGCTTTTTTATAGATCTAATTTTGTAACATAAGCAGCGCCCCCTATCTGATCAACGCAGTCATCAATTCTAGAGAGTGGGTAACAATCTGACTTAGTCACAGCATTCACGTTACGATAGTTGGTACAAAAACGAAATGTCCCATCAGGCTTATTCACCAAAAGGCAGGGTGATACCCAAGGGGATGTGGCAGGCTGCGCTATACCATTCTTAAGCATATATTGAACTTCAGCTGTTAAATGTTTTCTTTTTCCATAAGGTAATAACATTTGGCCTGCCCTACTGCCAAGAGGCATCAATGTTGATTTTGCCCAATTAATAACAAAAAAAAAGGCAGACAAATTGTGTCTGATCCTGATCATCACCTTTTTAAAGAATTCATAAAACTGCCCTTGGGAAGATTCTGTAGAGCCGCTACAGCAACCAAGAACATTTACAAAGCATCTTTCGTACTAAATGCAATAACTTTGCTAAATTCGTAAACATTCAGCCCAACCTTGCTCCACATCTAACTGATTATAGCGGGGCAATTTCAGCACCAACTGACAACCATTAGAAATCACACCCATAAAAGTCCCTGTGTAGCTCTGGAGTTACGATGCTTCAAACCAGAGTATATGAGCGGAATGGAGTGGAAGCAATTTCTACTCCCTGCTCAAAGCTTTGTGTCATCACTCCATTCCAACTCCGCTCCAGGTTTTCTATTTACGGCTCCTCTCTCGCTCCCTGCTTACACATGAGAGAACACCCACTCCAGGTTCGCTCCATAGCAAACTTGTGCTCCATTGAATTCTTGCAGTATACTTTGTATACTTTCAACTTCTGTGAAGGGAATCAAATACTGAATCAAATAAATTAAAGGGTTAGTAAACAAAACAGATGCATTGTTGCCTTAAAAACTGAAACATGAAATGAGAACATTGGCTATTACGCATATAACTCCACGGACGAAAACAAAGCGCATATGCCGTTAGGTAGTTTGAATAACGTTCTCAATCTTTTTTAAATGTATTTGCGAGTACTGTGCATTACTCATTTTGAATATAGGCCTTCTCATTTTTGAGAGAATAGAGGGAAACTAAGGTTACATTATGCCACCCACCTTTATGGGCTATTATGGGCCATTGACACATGTTGTACATGTGAGATGGAGCGAATTTGGAGTGTGCATGGAGCGAGAGAGATCACTGGCTTTTTTAAAAATCTTCTCGATCCGGGAAAAACTGCACCGTTCCACTCCCACTCTGCAACACTCACACACTCTGCTTCAAACTGCACTGACTGCTGTAGTTTCATTTCTGGCCACTGGAGGTCAGCAACATACCATAGAGAAATATTCTGTAGCGTACACAGTAATATACAGTAGAGAAATATATGACAAAATAATCATCATAGTTTTCATTAATCGCTGTTTAGTTATTCACTGTTTATGTTATGTTTACAGCCATTCAACCGACAGTGCTACTGCGCCAAGTGAGTGCTATGATAAGTGTTCTAACCCCATACATACATGCTTACCACAAACTTAACGAAAGGACAAGCATCAATGAACAGAACTTCCCCATCTCCCTCCATCTTAAATTAAAGTGATAAAATTACAACCCCCTTTCTCTCCACAGGCACTTTAGAGCTCTTGGTTTCTCATTAATGTGTGTTTGTTATGGCACCTCAGTGATGTGTTATTTTGCTACTCAAGGATTTGATGCCGTTTTGCTTCTGTTGAACAAATACACCCCTTTTGTCTTTTTTAATAGTAAAAGTATACCTCCTACATGACAAAAATGTAATTATGCCATTCAAATATGACAATCAAAATGCTATTATAGGTCTTAATAGTTCAACAATTAAGTTGTGGCTATTACATCAGCATTAAAATTGCATGTACAGTTATAACTAAGAGTAAAACAATGTTTTTAACAGCTCAGCATAAATGGTATCCTGCAAGTGTTTTTTAAAATGTAGTCATCACAGTCTAAATGAACAAGGAACCACTTCATGTCACATGTCAAAGGTCCTATGTAACAATCTCAGTAGCTATATGCATATTTTGGTGTGTGACAAAGTTAGTGTACAAGGATAAATTTAGGTTTACAGCTATGAAATACACAAAATAAGTTACCTATTTATGATTGTACGGAATTTAACGATTCCACTAAATACAGGATTGAGTTTCTAATTAGTACAGTTTAATGTAACTTTTATGATTATGGACATTCCACAGTTACAAAAGTCCTCAGTTCCCCAGTGGCCATTTGTGACTTAGGTTCCACTTAATATCATCTTTATTACAAGTGACAATACCTTCCTATTATGATTTCAGTTTGAGGGAAACATGCCATACCCTGTAACACAGCCCGTCCGATGGAACATGTTTATGAGTGTTTGTGTTGCTCTTATGAAGGTGCTGTTAAGTTCTGATGTAGAATCGGTTACCTCATATAGGTATCCTCTAACATCCATTATGCCTCACCCTCTGCACTGAAAAATAAGTGAAATCAACTGTGGAGAACTTAATTACATGTTATGTGTTGATCATTTGTTTAATTTCTGTTCATTTGTTTTGGTCATCCATATTATTTTTTAAACATTTCCTTGTAAACATCTCCAGTATCCATATGGGCAGACTATAGTCTAGTGGTTAAGGTACATGACTGGGACACTTGAGGTTGAGTTCAAGCCCCAGTCCTGCCACAGCAAGAACACCATTGCTGTTGGGCCCTTGACCCCTACATCACGGGGGGGATTGGCCCTTGGTTAGCCTAATCAACTGTAAGTTGCTTTGGTGTCAGCAAATAAAAAAAAGCATCAGCTAAATGACTATAATGTAATCTATAAAATAACAGCACTCCACTTGTTACCTCTTACAGAGGCCATTAGCTGTAAATATTAATGTATCTGTGATCAAATGAGTCTGAAGTCCACAATGCTTCACACAAACGAATGGAGTTACCAGTTTGTGGTGTGTACAAATGTGAAAGGACTTTGTTATTGGGAGTACTTCTATTGAGCTTGTTTTCCAATAACTGTTCTATAGTGTACTTCAGTGAAGTTTTTTATTATTGGCTGGCACAGCCCTTCCCCTGCAGCTTTAGTTTCATCCTCTCCTGAACAGGCAGTGTCTTTTGTAGGAGACGAAATCACATGGGTTTCCAGTGAGTAAATCCCAAGTTAAATTCAGGTAAGTCACTTGGTATAACATGCTTCAAACCACTGGTACTATGCTGAAATGTACCATGCTGCTGGTGTAATGGATAAGAATGTAACACATAAAGGGACATCAGACCCACAGTGTATGCTTATTTTTATTCCAACCATTCATTCTTTTCTAATATGGGTTTTCCAAGCTTTTTATTTTGTTATAGGTGTTTTAGAATGGGAGCAATAGAGAACTTAGGTGGGTCATGTAAGTGGCGACCTGTTAATTGTGCAACCATGAGAATAGTATTTTGCTGAATTCTATATCGATAATAATTTATATTTATTATGAACTTCATATGCAGTGACAAAAACTCTGCATTAATTTCTGCTTCCAAAAAGTTTGCAAGATAATGAATTGCATGATGAAATGAATGAATAAGAAAATTCTTGTTTAGTTACTGTAAAAATCAATTTGTTAGTTGTCATAGGCTAAGCATTTTCTCAGATGCAATGCTCGTCATGTGGGTGAGTTATTTGCGGAGTGTAGGTCAGCTCGCAATTGGGACACAGGAGACAGCCCTTCATGCCCAGATGGTGGCCGAAATTACACTTCCTGGTTCTGAAGTTATCTCCATTGTCTTCTATTGGAGTCGCTGCCTCTACATGTTTATATACTCTAAGGTATAAAAATGTAAAAAAGCTAGAGCCGGCGAGCCCCGCCAGGTGCCCTCGGCGCTCGGTGACCTGCCTCTGCCCGCTCGCGGGGTTTCGGCATGGCTGTCCCAACTCCCTACTGCTGCATCCGCCCTTGCCGGGGGAGACGATCCATATCTGGTGCTCCTGGTGCCGGTCGTCTCATCCTTGCATGCTCCCAAGGGTATTGGCAACGCAACCTCCCCTAGACGCCACCGCCTTTGCTAGGGCCGACGGGCCCCTCCAGATGCCTTCAGTGTCAGGAGTCCCGTTAATGCATGCTCCCGAGGCAACGGCTCTGCGGCCCCCTCTCCCCCAGGCCACCACCCTTGCCGGAGTTGGCGGACTCCAGCCGGCGCTGTCGGCGCTCTCTGTCCTGCCCCGGCACCCTCCCAAGGAGTCTGCGCTGTGGTTTTCTTTTCCCCTGGCTGCCCTGGTCCCTCCCAGAGTTGGCGAGTTCCAGTAGGCGCACCTCACTGCGGATCAATCCCCCGGCTGCTACCGTCCCGGCCGGAGCAGGCGGGTTCCCTCAGACGCACCACACGCCCTCTGACCCGCTGTCGCTGGCTCCTCGTGGACCGGTTCAGCTGCCCCCAGCTCACGCTGCATATCCTTCACTTTCCTAGATCCCTGGAACATGACTGACCAATGAAAACCACAGAAAAAAATACCTCACGTTATTTCACTTCCACCTGGCTGCTACCTTAACTGGTAGGACATGTCCATTTCTGGCATTCAGTGTTTTTTCCCATATTGCCTAGCTTCCACTGCTTCGAATGATGACCGGTCCTGTGCTCCAGAGGCCGGCTTCGGGACGACTTCTCCACGGGTCGTTTCCCGAGAAAGTGACCTGACATCCCCAGCTCCAGTAGGTGCAATCTGCGCTCGCAGATTTCGCAAGGTGCGGACGTGTGTTTGGCATCTCTGCTTTCCTGCCCTGGCACTCTTCCAAGGAGTCGGCACTGCGGTTTTATTTTCCCCCGGCTGCCCTGGCCCCCCCTGGAGTTGGCGAGTTCCAGTAGGTGCAATCTCCGCTCGCAGATTTCACAAGGTGCGGACGTGTGTTTGGCATCTCTGCTTTCCTGCCCTGGCACTCTTCCAAGGAGTCGGCACTGCGGTTTTATTTTCCCCCGGCTGCCCTGCCCCCCCCTGGAGTTGGCGAGTTCCAGTAGGTGCAATCTGCGCTCGCAGATTTCGCAAGGTGCGGACGTGTGTTTGGCATCTCTGCTTTCCTGCCCTGGCACTCTTCCAAGGAGTCAGCACTGTGGTTTTCTTTTCCCCCAGCTGCCCTGGCCCCCCCTGGAGTTGGCGAGTTCCAGTAGGTGCAATCTGCGCTCGCAGATTTCGCAAGGTGCGGACGTGTGTTTGGCATCTCTGCTTTCACCCCCCCCCCCCCCATGAACGCAGGGTTTTGGAGTGTAATGGCATCACGGTTGCTCTCAGGGCTCTGTCTTCCTCCTTGTATAAGGTGTTGACGTTCCTCGAATTCTGCCTGGCTTTCTCCCACAACACCGACGTTATCTGCTCAGTGTTCCCTCACTGTGGCTATCGTGGCGGATTTAGCCGTCCATTTTGGGGGTACCCATTTTTATGTATATCACAAATTTTTCCTGCCAAGTGTGCCGCGAAGGTAGCGCAATTTAATGTGTGTCCTTATTGGGGGGTTTTAGGTTCGGACTTGTATTGTCGGGTTTTCCTGGGTTTGAGAGCTTCGGTTTGCGGTGTATACCAGTCCACTGAACATTCCACTCATTTATGCGCCATGGTAGCCCCCGCTACTACTGTCTCTGCTGGTTCGGTCAGCACTGTCCCCGCGGCTTCCGTTTCCGCTATTGTCACCTCCCCCGAGCTTGACGTCAAAGGGCGCCCCATTCCACTCGTTGGGGGAAAGTCGATATGTAATCATTTTAACCATGCCGAATGCTACAACAGCGGGTGTAAATTTTTACATGTGTTCAGCTTTTGTGCCGGTGCCCACATGCGCACTGCCCCTTCAGGCACTACGTGACTGTTTCCCCATCTGTCCACTTCGGTTAATGTTTCTAGGCTCAGTGATGAACTCCATGGCCATCCCTACCTCCTTTTTGTTTCCTACCTCCTTCACAGTCTCATTCACGGTTTTTCCCCTGGTTTAGCTCCCCTTCCTGTTCAGTCAGTTATTTGCGGTAACCTCCAGTAGGCTGAAGTCCGTGCCCGTTGTTGTCGATTTGTTGCCGGCTAAGGAGGTCGAGTCAGGGTTTATGATCGGCCTATTTGTGTCCCCTCCGTTTTTGGCATTCCGTGTGAATCCAATCGGAATTGCTATCTGCTGACCTTCGCCTCCTTAGTCCCGTCCCTGCTCGATCCAGTCGTACTGGACGAGTTTTTGTCTGGGCGAGTTGCGTTTGCGGCATGCATTCCTCATCTGTTCTCAGATGCTGCGCCATCCGTGGGTTTTGGTGCTTATTATCGAGGCCGCCGGTTTTCAGCCCCCTGGCCGGTCGAATTCTCCTCCCTCCCACCTAATTCCGAGTCCTCTGCATTGTTTGAAATTTATCCTGTGGTTGCTGTGGCTGTCGGGCTGGGGGTCGGAATGGTCTAAAAAGAAAATCTTGATTCATTCTGACAGCAGGGCTACTGTTGCAATAATAAATAAAGGCCGTTCACGTTCCTACACTAGCATGTCACTCCTTCGCCGTCTCACTTGGATGTCAATACGCCATCAGTTCATTGTACATGCAGATTACATTCCCGGTCACCATAACTCAATTGCTGACAGTCTTTCTCATTTTCAATTTCAGAAATTCTTCAGTTCGGCCCGGGTAGTGCACAGGAGGATACCAGAAGTTTTTCAGGCTTTTCCAAACGTAGACAACCCATCACGCCTCCCATACTCACCCACTGCATTAATCTCGTCCGTTCCGGATACATCAACCCTCACGTAGACATCACTCTGTCAGCCCTCTTCTCACTCGTATTCTTCAGACTCCTCCAATGCTCAGAATTCACTGCGTCATCAACTCTGCATATATCAGGTTTTCCCTCTAACAATTTTCTTCTCATTTATTCAGAATCGGAGCAGCAACCACAGCGGCACAAAATGGACTTCCGGACTATTTAATCAAATGCCTGGGTCACTGGTCCTCAGACGCTTTCCAAATTTACATTAGGTTAAACTGTTCAGACATTCGTTCTGCCCACACCTCATTAATCCAGTGATAATTACATAGCCATAGCAAACCAAATCACATTCTGCTTTCAGGGTTGGCAGTCTTTTGGGGGATTCCCTCTCCACAAGGATGCGACGACTCCTCCCCCTTTTGACTCCAAGCCCAAGTTCATTCTTTTCTATCCCCTATCAATAAACTCCTCTTAAATACTATATCGTTGTCTGAGAATTCATACTACTGAATTACACAAACATTATAATGATTACAAACAGTTTTCATTGCTTTTTTCTTATTGGACATTTTGTTGGTAGAAATGTACTGTTCAATCTCTGTAAACAGGTTTGCCGTTTGAGATTTTACACATATGTATGTAATATTTTGTAAATATCAAATGAATTCAATTAAATAGTTTCTCTTCCAAGCGATTGAAATTTGTGAAACCAACTCTTAAAAAATAAAAATTTGCTCTCATATAGAATATCCCTGTTGTTCCAAATTACATATTTGTGTGGAGAAAATTGTGTTTATATAACAGGTTCCATGCACACAAAACTTGTTTATGAAATGCTGAAAGTTTTACTGGAATCTTGTTAATATTGTAATTACAAGCCAATAGGAAGTTTAAACCACCATAGAATATATGGTGTTCATATGAATTAATTATTGTTGATCTTTACATAACGACTGTGTTTTTCTAGATGAGCTTCAGGA